AGAATGGCCAACTCTAATTTAGAAACGTTTTAGGATGCATGGATGGGCAAGAGTGAAAAAATAAGTTTTATCCTAAGCACTTAAACTCACCAGCTTAGCAATGAGGGTTTTAAATTAGGTTCGAAGTGTGCAGATGGTTAAAGCTAACAAGTAGGTATATTAAAAAAAGGTGACCCTATCAGAGGGCTACATATTAGGGGAAAGAGGAAGGACAGAGAAGGGAAAATTACAGTGGGGTCGTGGAAACAAGAGGGAAAAGAGAGGGGAAATTTGTTCAACATCTTAGATATCTGTACACAAATATGAGAAGTATGGAACAGGAAGAACTGGAAATACTAGCTCATAAGCTAAATTTGACTTATTTTGTTTCAGAGACCTGATGGGTTAAATCTCATGATTGTTAATATTCGTACAGAGGAATATAGAGCAAGAGACCACAGGTAGGAGGTACTGCATTATATAATCGAGACTATATACACTCTGAGGTCCAAAAAAGGTAAGAAACAAACCAGTTGAAAGTCCCCGAGTAAATAAAAGGGGGAGATCAATAGGTGATATTTGGTCATCTATAGCAGATCATTACTATCAGGAGGAAGTGGTGAATGAGACATTTCTTGAACAAACAGAAATATTCAAAAACACAAGACCTGGTAGTAATGGGGAACTTTAACTATCCAGACATCCCTTGGCAGAATAATACAGCAACGTTCAAAATGCCCAATAAGTTCTTTGAATGTATTGGTGGCAATCATTTCCTTCAGAAGTGGGAGGAGGATACCAGGGAGCCACCTTTATTATCGCTACTATGGAAGGCATCTGAGGTACAGAGTTTACTCTGGCCACCTTACATGGCCAAAGCAGCGTATGCTCTGGTGACAGCCACAAACTATATCAATACCTTAAAAGTAATCTACAAAGAACAACAATGGGCTTGCACATTTTTTTGCATCTTCATAAGATAAGACTATTCAGATAGTAGGTTTTCCTCCCTCAGATTTTTATATTGGAACTTCAAGTCTTATATGCCCAGGAAGGAGGACGACAACTGAAGAGCTAATAAAAGAATAATACCACAAGAAAGAGCAAAAGAAATTTTGGGACGCGTGTTTAAAATGTTTTATTTTTAACACTATTTCACTTCAAAGACAATTACCAGAGACATTTATGAGTTCCTGCAGCAAGAACATGAATACTAGACTTGATATTCCTACATTAAAAAACAATTGTAGCTGATGATATTCTTATCACAGCTAAAAACAAAAGTCTAATTAAACTGAGACCAAACAACTAATTCAAATTAAAGTTTTATTATTAAAAATGGTTGAGTTACTGGAGTTGTGACCTATGTTGAAAGAACTACTATATTGCTAGGTCTAGTAGCACTGTAATGAAACCAAATGAGGTAGAATGAGGAATACCCCATTGTGAACAAAGTAGTAAATGTATGCTGGTAAAAACAGAATTATACTGAAAGGTATGGGGAAATATTTTAATGAATGCTTGAGTTCTTAGATCTTAAAATTCTGAAATTATACCTTCATTTAAGATGAAGAGCTAGATGGGATAGCATTTTTAAAAATTGGTGGTAATGGATCCATGTTATCAAGCTTTTATTATTTTGGAACGTGCTATTTGTTAACGTGACTATTCAAGAGTGAGTAGTAAATGCACTGTCATGTGTTTCCTTTCCTTTGTTGAGCCTTTAAATTAACTGAAAACAAGATCAACTAATCTCCTTAAAAGCAAATATTTTGGAAATTTGAAAAGAGATCTTAGAATTCTGCAGATGAAGAATTGCAGGTTCACTGCTGTTTACTTCTTCTCATCAGAAAATAGGTAAGATCCTGGAATTTGATTCAGGATCTATATGAAATACTTACCAAGCAGTAGTAATGAACAGTGAGATTGTATTCCTTGTAAGTTCTCTTTTCTCCATATTTTTCTGGACAGTCATCAGTTTGTTGACAGAGGACACAGGCTAAAATATTGAAACACAGTTTAGAAACACTGAATGGAAATGGCCTATTAACAGAAAATGCTGGTTTATAACCCTTAAATTAAGCATGAGCTAGGCTACTGGATAAGTGTAATAAAGCCAGTACCACCCATCTGTTCTTCAACAGATGGAATTCCATGTTGTTTGTTTACTACACTCCACTTAATTTAAAGCAGCTGTTGTTTCTCTCCACTTTTTGCAGCTGCTTTACACTTCCATGCCTTAGACTTCCTTCTTTTTTCATGGGTAGGCTCTGAAGTACACAGCAGAAATAGCAATGGAAGAGAGATTGCAAGCGACTTCTTCCCTGGCACCTGCTGGATCCCAAGGACCAGTGTCCCCTTTAACATTTTCTATCATTGGGCAAGCTGAATTTTCTTTTGAGTGGGTTGAAATTTCTTATGTGTAACACCAATATTGAGGTAGTGTGTGGATGTGCACCACCAATACAAACAAAACACATATATAAAATTATATATATTTTAAACAGTCCATATGCGTGGAAGAAAATATATTAAAACAGGAGATTGTTAACATGGAGCAATGCTTACAATATTTAATATGAAATCAAATAAATAAAATTAATATTTACAGTACATGCATCATCTAACAACTCACGCTAGTAAACACAACAAAATGCATATTATTCCCACATAGCTCAGCTTTAAGATGCTAAACCAATCTATGAGTCAATCAGAAATAGTGTTTGCAAGGAGAGCATGACTAATACAATACAATATTTAGTGACACTAGACAGTAAAGTAAAAGGCATTCACTAAGGCTTATACAGTTTCTCTGGAGAATGTTTAGGATGTTCTCTGGAGAATGTTGTATAAAAAAAAAATACAACAGCTGAAAGTTCTCCTGGCTTGAAACTTTCACCTTGTGTGTGTCACCAACTCAAAGGACAGCAACCCCAGAATCAATGAACACATGGCTTCAGGTTTGTACACAGATGCATAATTCCAAGAGCTTGCAAATAAGATTTCATCCTACAAAACTAGCATCACATCTAGTACTTGCTACTTCTGACTCATAAAAGCCAGAACTCTACCTGATAGCAAAGATCTGGCCTTAATGCCCAGGAGGCTTGAGGAGAGTGCTGGGTTTCAGTTTCTGCCTCTCTCTCAGTATGCAGATGGGACTCTCTAAACTCCCATCACCCCTAACTCCTCCCCAAGCCAATTAATTAATGACTCCCTCCCTCCCTTCTCCCAGCCTCTTATTCCATCATCTCGCCTGCTTACCTGCTATGGCAACTCCTCAATTCAAGCCCACAGCTAGCTCTGTTTAGCTGCTGCCTAGCTAGATGTCCCTCTCCACACCGGTGAGCTGAGGTTCCCTGCCTGCGAAGGAGCTTTGAACTGCCGAGAGGGGCTCAGAAAACAGCTGTGCCGCAGTGCAGCTTACAGGGACCAAGGGATTTTACTGACCCAGTAGGCATCTCTTGGAACCTACCAGCAAGCTGCACCCCTTCAGTTAAAATGCCCATTTTAAGGCATTTCAACTAAGCACCTAAACACTGTGATTTTAAACATGTAGAGTAATTGATATCTGAATATAAACATATTGTACCCAACTTTTTTATAGACATATAATAGATATATTGAGGATCCCAACAGCACAATATTAATGGAAAGAATGGTTACTAGTAACTGTGGTTCTTAGAGATGTTCTAAATACGTGGATCCCACTTAAGGTGCCCATGTATCCCAGAAAAAGTGTTCAGAACATTTTCACTAGCAGTGTACAGTAGGGGTCACACATGACTTGAGAGCATAAAGGGCATAGCAACCCCTACTGCTATTCAATTCCTTGATCACCCAGAATCCTCATTTCTAAGACTCTGAGCTGCCAGTATGAAAGGCAGATCACGGGATCAAGATGTGAAAAACATCTTGAAGAACCCCAGATACTAAAAGGTAAATAACTGTTCTTTAAGGAGGTGGAAGCTAGACATTATCTGTAAGGAGACTACAAAACAATGCTTCCAAAATGGAAACATGTTGAAACTGTCACTTAACACATAATTTTTTTATAAGAGACCTGGTAGCTGCTTTGCATTTTTCTGATATTGGAATACAACTTCATCATGCTACTGAGGCTGTTTGCATTCTGGTGGAGTGGCATGGCTTTCCCTAATTCTAGTCCTGGCTTTTATATCCAGAAAGAGTAGTTGCAACTCAGATAGGCCATGGAATTTTTATAGCATATTGGGGGACAAAGGGAAGACTCAGATTAAAAAAAAAAAAAAAAAAGGTTGAGAGCCCCTATTTTAGATCACTGATTTACCAAACTACGTACTGGAGTTATAGTACTGGATTTAAATTCAATCTTTTGTATTGATGTATATACCAGTTCTGTAAATATTTAAATACAAGTTAGCTAAATCAATTAAATAGCCTTACTTACCTGGGCTTTGAAAGCAGCAGAGGGTATTTTCATTCATTCTAGTACCTTTCTTCTAAATTTTTTACTATGAAATTAAAAACAACATGTCAAAAGTACTCAGTTTTTTGAGGTTGGTATGCAGCATTATACTTAGCAAAACTATCGTATCGTGGGAGACCATCTTGGTTACGACAATCTTGCAACTCACTGACATGAAGGAGGGCCACTCAAGTGACCCATCAATAGCCTAGGTTGCCCCTCACTTCCATACAGCTTCTCAAACCAGGGGTCCTGACCCAAAATGAGAGGAGGGGAAGACAATGCTATTGTAGAGGGATGGTGATACTGCCAACCGTACTTCTATCTTGTCTTCAAAGCTGGACAGTCAGAGAGAGGCAACTGCTGGGCAGGCACTCAGCTCTGAAGGTAGCACTGCCGCCAGCAGCAGCACAGGAGTAAGGGAGGCATGGCATGGATTGGGAGGGCAATCACATTTTGGAGGGAGAAGTCCATCATATGTTTTACATGTTTACATTTCTTCAAATACATATTCATGCTTTGTTACAATAACATGAAATTTGAGATTTAAATACCTGAAACCACGAAATTTAATTTTGTAAATGCTGAGACTGACATTTACAAAAATGGACTGTGGATTTGATAAAGGCCCTAATAATAAGCCTTCATTAATGCAATTTTCCTCTTACTTCCCCAGCTTTGCCTCTTACTTCCCCAGCTTTTTGGAACCAAATCATCATCAAGAATTTTTATTTTGTCCTTCCAAAAGGACCCTGCAGTTTACCTATCAAACAAATGTTCATTTACAGACAAGATTTCAGTTTCCGCAAAACACACCACTCAACATAGTGGGCCCCATTTTTCCCTAATGTAATTCACTGGACTGTAGAGAAGTTACATCAGAAAGGATGTTTTGTTAATATTTACTAGAGCATTTCCCAAAATGTGGGATACAATGCAGCAGCTGCAGAGGAAGGAAGGGTATGGATAGGCCTTAATTATTCTCCAGAACTTTTAGCTATTATGCTTAGACAGAAAATGTAATCCAAATATAATTGATGCAGAGTCTGGATTAGATTTAAGGAATGAACTATCCCAACCATTTAAAATCAGGGGTGTCCAAACTTTTTTCAAAGAGGGCCAGATTTGATGAAGTGAACATGCGTGAGGGCCGACCATTTTGCCTGACATTCTTTGAACCATTAAAATTAAACGCAAATTAACTAGTTTATGCAAAGTTTATTGCAAACGGCATACTTTTCATTTCGTCACATGGATGACAAATCTAAACAGGTGTTAAATCACTCTGCCTTTCATATCTGAAGGCCAGATGAAAAAAAAAATCCAGGAAGCTGAAATATATGTCAGGAACATTGTAAAGTACATTACATATTATTGGTAATAAAGGTTGTCTGTCAACTTTTAAGTTCAAAAAATATGAACAGGAACATAACACCAAGTATACATGTTGTGTCCAAATATATTTATAACTGATTTAGACCAACTGACTTTAACTGAGATTTTACAATGTATTCATCTCAATACATATGGATTCGTTGGGGGCCATAAAAGATAGATATTGCCAAATTACCCGTGGGGCAGTATTAAACCGGAACACGGGCCGCAATTGGACCGCGGGCCGGACTTTGGACATGCCTGATTTAAATGATCAAAATGTGAGAAAAACCAGGGAATATCGCATTATGATGGTTTATACAGATTGACCAATTATTTTTGATAGATGTGTTCACTATTTACACCACAGTAAAACTAAAGAGAGTGCAATTGATTTCATTTTCCTTTCTAAGGGCTCAGCTTCCAAAAATTTGGGACAATCTTTTTGAAGAACAATCTTTTTGTTTGAGCATGAGTCAACAGTGTGACACTGTTGCAAAAACAAAAAACAAACAAACAAGTAAACATGATTCTGGGATGCATTAAAAGGAGTGTTGTAAGCAAGACACAATAAGTCATTTTTCCGCTCTATTCTGCACTGATTAGAGTTCTGGGCACCACATTTCAGGAAATAGAGAAATTAGAGAAGGTCCAGAGAAGAGCAACAAAAATGATTAAAGGTCTAGAAAACATGACCTATGAGGGAAGACTGAAATAACTGGGCTTGTTTAATTTAGAAAAGAGAAGACTGAGAGGGGACATCATAGTGGTTTTCAAGTATCTAAAAGGATGTTATAAGGAGGAGAGAGAAAAATTGTTCTCCTTGGCCTCTGGCGATAGGACAAGCAGCAATGGGCTAAAATTGCAGCAAGAGAGGTTTAGGCTGAACATTAGGAAAAACTTCCTGTCAGGGTGGTTAAACACTGGAATAAATTGCCTAAGGAGGTTGTGAAATCTCCAACTCTGGAGATATTTAAGATAATCCACACAGTGCTTGATCCTGCCATGAGGTCAGTTCTAGGATTCTATAAGAAACAAGTAACAACCTTACAACTATAGCCACTCTTGAAGGATCTGCTGATAATGTACACAGGGTGAAAACTGTATAACATATCTTAGAAGCAGAACTGAGTCGCAGAAGAGACATATTGAGTGATGTAATACATTTGCTGGTACAGGAATATCTATAAAAGTGAAGGATTGTGCTTGGAATAATCTAAAATCACTAATTATCCAAATGTAATACAGATGCCTTTTGGTTCATCTAATTTTGTTTTAGTACCTTAGGACAATTTTAACTTCCAATTTATATAGGAATGACAGGGTCAGAACAGAAGGCTATATAAAAAAAGTAATGTATGGGAGATGTATAAGATTCTGAATGAGGAGAGCTTTGCTCCCAGGCTATATCTACACTGGCGTGTTCTCACGCAAAAACACTTTTGCGGAAGAGTTCTTCTGCAAAAACTCTTCCAGAAGAGAGCGTCTACACTGGCATGTGCTTTTGTGCAAGAGCATCCATGCCAGTGTAGATGCTCTTTTGTGCAAGAAAGCTCGGATGGCCATTTTAACCATAGGGCTTTCTTGCACAAGAAATTCATGTTGCCTGTCTACACTGGCCTCTTTTGGAAGAGGTCTTGCGCAAGAGGGCTTATTCCTGAGTGGGAGCGTCAGAGTTCTCGCACAAGAAGCCCTGATTTTATACATTAGAACATCAGTTTACTTGCACAAGAACACACGGCCAGTGTAGACAGGCAGCAAGTTTGTGCGCAAGAGTGGCCGCTTTTGCGCGAGATCGTGCAAGTGTAGACACAGCCCCAGAGTAACAGGGAGGGGCTGTTTTAGAACCAACAGAGGAAATCAGTGGCAGTGAAACACCTGGGCTAATTGACCAGGCCTGCAGAGTCAGTCCGGCCTAAGCTATTTAGGATACCTGGGCATAATTAAGAAAGCCAGTTCAGCCTAGCTATAAAAGCTTTGCCTACAGTTAGGGTGCATGTGCAGCTGAGAGGATGGAAGAGGGCACCACTGGGAGTAGGAGGAAAGGAGCCAACAACTAAACACTAGGAAGATGAATCAGTGAGAAGGAATGTACTGGGGAAGTAGCCCAGAGATTGCAGAGCTGCCTTATAGCAGGTGTTGGGGATTCACACAGGCAGCTACTATTATAAACCCTGGGTCTCCACCCCCTTCCAGCACCCACCTCCCCATTTCCACTCAAGGAAAATTATTATAAAGCCCAGGTCTCCACCCCCCTCCAGCACCCACCTCCCCATTTCCACTCAAGGAAAAAAAATGTGCAATTTATTCTCCATTTTACTATACGCTGACAACGATGAAAAGAGCTTAACAAATATCAAACTAAAGCCCTACATGTGAGGGCTAAAATTGTGGCCTGCTGTGAGCCTCTGAGGCAAGCAAAATCCACCAGGAAGCACAGGACACACTGAGTTTTCATAAGACATTTGTCACAATCTATATAATGCCTTAAAACTGCTAATCAATTCAACTTAAGCAAAGCTGACATTTGATATTTGGTAAGGGAGTCAAGAATAGAGTTAAAAAAGTATTTTACCTCTGGAGTTCTTCTCCCACCCCCCTCACTCAGAAATGGCCTCTTCAAGGTCTTCAATCTTCTAGAGCTCTTGAACAGAAGGACCATCTGTACAGGCAAAGAGGACCTTTATGTAATGTCAGTACACTATGGCTTAGTGAAATGGTGAAAAATCCTGATAAATGGAGGGAGCTTAGATTCAGCTGGCAGTGAGAAGCACAAAGGTCAGAACCTAACATTACATTCATCCTGCGCTTGTCCACAAAGGCTACTAACTCCACACAGGTTCCATACAGGTTTTTCTGCATAGATCCAGTTGCAGGGTTGGGGCCTAAATTATTGCTTACTGGGTACAAAAAGTAAGACAGTTAATCAACTGTTTTGCCCGAGTTATGGTTTACTCAAGTCTGCCACCAATTTTGAAATCAGCTGGTGACTAAATGTAGGTAATACTTAAAGTCTATAAAAATGGGAACTTGTAGGCAATCATTAAGATAGCTCCTACAGATTATAGAATCTGTAATATAAAAATAAAAGTTGTTATAAAAATGAAATGTATTTATAGTACTTTGCAATTGAAGTCTACTACATAGACTGCATACTTGAAGAAAAAACAAATACTAGGCAAGCTAGTAGGTAATACATGAATTAATGTGTTTTTGTGCTACTGGCCTTCCAATATTGTAGTGTCATCATGCCAGCTTACATTTAAATATATATAAAAGCTCACAAACAGCCCATGCCTACATCATCTGTCTAATGTAGTGGCTCTCAAGCTTTTTGGCCCATGGACCATCTGGCTTAGTGGTCATCTATCTAATGTAGTGGCTCTCAACCTTTTTGGCCCATGGACGATCTGGCTTAGTGTAAACCTTTCCCTAGACCCCCTCCCTCCCCAGTTTCTAATGGAAGCTCATCGTTAATTACATAATGATATTGGAGCCATTTTGCTAGTGCTGTAGCTCGGGAGAACAGTTTAATTATTATAAAGATTAAGCATTTTAACTTTCTCATGTTAGTTTATCAAACTTGACCCCCTCCCTCCCCAGTTTCTAATGGAAGCTCATCGTTAATTACATAATGATATCGGAGCCATTTTGCTAGAGCTGTAGCTCGGGAGAACTTGTTTAATTATTATAAAGATTAAGCATTTTAACTTTCTCATGTTAGTTTATCAAACTTAATTTTAAATAAAACAAAATGGTATAGCCAACACAAAAGGTTTCAATGTTTTCTTATTTATGGTGGGGTGGAAAACCTTTTCTGGGGTCCCTTTTTTCTGATCCACAGGAAAAAAAAAAATCAGTTGGGAGCCACACATTTGAGAAGCAAAAAAACTTTTCCAAAAACACCCAACCCTCACTGATGTGGTCCCCAACTGAGACACCTCACTCCTCTGGTGCCCTAGCCCCTACGGGATGAGGGAAAGGCACAGGAAGGCCTGAGGTTCAGGGCTTCCCATAGGCCAGATTTACTTTTTTGGTGTTCTGGAGTTAGTGGATTTTATGGGCACCCTTAGGTTCTGGGGTGTGGACAGAAATGAGGGGTTCATTGTGTGGGCCAGGACTGCCAGCAAGTGGGATAGGATGGAGGTGAGGAATCTGGGAAGGAGGTGAGGTGCAGAAGGGGGAGAGATTGCTACATCTGGGTGGGAGGTGGGGTGCAGCAGCAGATTTGGAGTAGGGTGTCTGGCCAGGGAGAGGGAGCATGAGCAAGAGAGGGTGAAATTTGTGTCCAGGAGGGAGAGTGCAGGTAGGTGTCTGGCCTGGGGAGAGGGCACTGGAGCAAGCTGAGGGTGCATGGTCTTGGTGGAGAGGGGGGAAGGGAAGGGAGTGAGAGAGAGGGATTGGATTGCAGGGGTCTGGGCATGAGTGGGGACACTTATCTAGCTTTGTGTCCCCTTGCAGTGGGGAAAGCCTCTGGACAGCACACTGCTGTTCCCCGAGTGGAATGAGGAGGGAGCTCAGTCTCCCCTCCCACAAGCAGCGGGAAGCCTGTGCAGCCATGTGGCTGCAGCACCGGCTTCCTGCTCGGTGGGCACACAGGGAGGGGTACAGGTGAAGAAAGCCCCAATCTTCTCCACTATACCCAGCTCATAGAGAGTGGCAGAGCACAGGGTGAGGAGAGGCAGAGGTGAAAGCGGCAATGCATGGAGTCCCCATCAGAGCCTGAGTGCATCCTGCCCTGCAGAGTCCCAGCCAGGCCTCTGCTGGGGATGGCAACAACTCTAAGAAGCTGGGGTCCAGAAGCAGCTCCACCAGCTTTTACCTTGGCCCCACCTCGGCCTGTCTTCTCTACTATCCCTTCCATTGCCCCACCCCTCGCCAGTCTCCCAAACACCCATGACCCTACTGGTCTTTTGCAGCTTTCTCAGAGGGCCCTAGGGGGTTGGAAACTCTCTCCCTCGCCCGTTTACACAGGCCAGGGATCAGAGCTCATTTCTAGCCAAGCCCGATTTTGTTTTGCTTCTGGTCAGCCCCCAGCAGCAACTGTTCCCAGTGCTGGCAACCTCTGTAACCAAGAAGAAGCAGTCTTTATTCACTGTATATACTGGTTGGGGCTGACATTCACAGATAATAGCATTAGATGCATTTGTCATGTTGTTTTACTGCATACCCACCATGCAGTACAAGATTCATACTGGCAAGTACAAGATTCATACATAGCAAGACACATTCTGTGCTATTCAAGTGGTCTTTCAAAGCATCCCTCTTATAGCCTTGGTATCTGGCTGCTCAGAATGAGCAAACAGCTGTTCCACCTCTACGCCGGCAGAAACTTTTTAGTCATTAGCTTCACAGGTATTATGAAGCACACAGGTGGCAACTATAACAGTAAGATTTATTTTTTAAACTAAGGTTTATTCTCCTGTGAAGACAGTGTCCTCAGTCTTTCATATTATCAAAGGCACATTAAACTGTCAATGTGCACCTGCAGAGCTTGTAGTTGAAGCGTTCCTTGCTGCTGTTGAGGTGGCCACTGTTTTATGAGCCATAGAAGTAAAGGGGTAAAATGGGTCTCCCAAGATCACTGTTGGCATTTAAGCATCCTCAACAGTAATGCTCTGGTTTGGAAATAAAGCTCTCACTTGCAGCTTTCTGTGTAGGGATAACATATTAATGTATTAAAAATGTGATTCCCCCAAATGGAAGTGACTCCCCATAATTTGTTCCCCACAACTTAAAGTATTTAGATTTATTATTAATTCTTCTTATTATTATTAGTTAAGATTGTTAAATGTTTAGATTTATTATTATTATTGCCCCTTTAGAATATAATGTATTAGGTCATGTAACTTAGAACTGTTAAGAATATAATCCCATGTATCCAGAAACAGCCCCCCCTCTGTGCCCCAGGACATGCTCAAGCTTGTGCAAGGGGCTGCTTGAAATTGACATTGCAGAGATACATTGTAACAATGCATTGTCAAGTCACTAACTCTGCTATGGGAGCCAAGCCCTGTAATTGACTAAGGGCATTGTTACATAATTGACGCCTGTTCTCTTTAAAACATTGTAACTTTACTCAGCACTCAGAGAATGTTTTAAGCAATACCACCCAGAAACTTTTTGTAACTACAACTCTGATATATGTAAAGTTATTATTACCAGAAACTTTTTGTAACTACAACTCTGATATATGTAAAGTTATTATTATACAAAAATATTGTATGGGAAACATTAATTAAGGAATGTATGTATGCATTGTCAAGCCACTAACTCTGCTATGGGAGCCAAGCCCTGTAATTGACTAAGGCCATTGTTACTTAATTGAGGCCTGTTCTCTTTAAAACATTGTAACTTTATTCAGCACTCAGAGAATGTTTTAAGCAATACCACCCAGAAACTTTCTGTAACTACAACTTTTATTATTATACAAAATACTGTATGAATGTATGAGAGAGTGCTTGGATGATGAGTGAATGGTTCTGAGAGGTGCCAGCCTGAGAATACAGCAACAAAGGGCTGAAGAAGGCGTCAGGTGCCAGTGCAACCAAAAGGTGTCAAGTGGAGAAACTGGAGGTCCACCCGATGAGATCACTGATGAGCACCTGGCAGCCACCCTGGAGACATCAGCATGATGCAGCAATTTCCATAGACTGGCATAGGAAAAAATTCCTATAAGAACTGGACTAAAAAACTATGGAATCAGAGTCCAAGGTTCTGCTGCCAGCCTACCAGGAGCTTCAGATGCACATCTGATCAGGACTTCGCTCCCCACTACCATCACTTGTGTACAGAATACCTGGCCATTTTTCTGTCACAAGCAACTTCCAGGCTGGTAACTATAACAATACACAGCACCTGAATGAATGGATGAATGAATGTTTATATGTATAAGGGTTAAGTAGTTAAACAACGTTGTTTGCTTCTATCTTTTCTTTATTTTTTATTATTATCTTTACAATAAACGTGGCTTTTTGCCTTATCCCCCTCATAAGATCCTGCTTGCTTTTATTTGGTACAACATCTGTACAGGCTTGTGTTCTAAAAAGATGCCTGCATCTTGCAACCTCTCTGACCATTCCATGCTGATTTCAATAAAATGCCCCTGATGATCCACCAGCACTTGAAATACTGTAGAAAAGTAGCCATTTCAATTGATGGTCTCTGTGGCAAGAAGGTTGGGTGCCAAAATAGGGATATGCATGCCATCTGTTGCTTCACCACAGTTTGGGAAACCCACTGTTGCAGGAACAACGAGAAGTCCTGTGGCACACCTTACAGACTAACAGATTTATTGGACAAAGACACAGGTACTGATCAAGCGATCTCTCTCCTGCTATCCATCTCCACCCTCTGACAAACAGAAGCTAGGGACACCATTCCTTACCCATTATCTCGTTCTCTTTTAAACCCTGTTATGGTCCTAGTCTTCAAGAGGCAAGGAGTTCCACAGATTGACTATGCACTGTGTGAAGAAGAACTTCCTTTTATTTGTTTAAACCTGCTGCCCATTCATTTCATTTGGTGGCCCTTAGTTCTTGTATTATGGGAACAAGTAAATAGCTTTTCCTTATTCACTTTCTCCACACCACTCATGATTTTATATACCTCTATCATATCCCCCTGGTCTCCTCTTTTCCAAGCTGAAAAGTCCCAGTCTCTTTAATCTCTCCTCATATGGGACCCGT